TGTGGAGGAAGTGTCACTGCAGGACTTGGTGATCATGGGCTGTCTTTTGGGGGATCGGGAGAGTGAGATGTTAAGGAACACACCCAGGTTTGTGACTTGTGTACCTGGATGGTCAGTGGTGTGTTGGTCAGAGAGGTGGACTAGAGGAAGCGCAGGTCTGAAGAGAAAGGTCATAAATTTGAGTTTTGAGAGTTTCAAAGATCCCTTGTGAGCTATCTAAGTAAAGATGTCAAGTAGCCACTTGGGACTTCTTGGACCTGGAGCTCGGGAAAGGGAGTAGCTGGCATATAGGTGACAACTCAAGTTGGGCGCAGAGGAGGAGGCAAGTACAGAGTGAGCAGAGGGCCTGGGACAGCGTTGCAGAATTCTGCCATGTCACCAAGTTTCAAGAACGAGAGCAGTCAGCAGGCACTAGAATGCAGCCGAGCTTCTAGGTAAGGATTAAACATGGCGTTGGACATAGTGAGAGCTGTGTCTGTAGAATGGAAGGATTGCATGAATGAAACATGGACCTGCTTCTGAACAACTCTCAGTCTTGTAGGGGACATGGTTTTATAAGCTTTCTAAATATAGCTGGAAATCTGGAATAATAAATGTCCAGAGGACAAAGATCAGTGGAGTAGGGAATGGCAGGCGTTTCCTGAGTCGGCCAAGCTGGGAGACTCCTTGGAGGTGGAGACGCCTAAGGAAGTAGTCAAAGGTTACACTTATTTTTATAGCTGCTTAGGTTTATGCACAGTGCCCTCTACTCATCAGGCCTTTAATGAACGTCTGCTGGATGGATTTGTGAGTTAAAGAGAGTACAGCCTTCCCCTAAAGAAATGTGGATGGTTATCTGGGTGGTTCTTTTTACTAGATGGTGGCCTTCAGACAGAAAAGCAGTCTGTGTGGGAGGATCAGTGGTGTCATCTCTGGATATGAAGAAAAGCACAGTTTAGTGCAGGGGAAGTGTGGGTTACAAATTCAGATGCTTAAAAGCACCAGGCAGATAATGTCAGTGAGTGATGTGGGAGCCAGATCTGCAGCAAGCACTGCCCTGAACCGTGTCCTCTCACAGCACACTTTCGGTTTTGTGTGCACAGGAACAGAGTTCACAAAGAATCATGTCTGCTTTTAATCTGGTCCCTGTGGTCTGTCATTTTCCTTCTTTTGATAGAACCATGGATACAAGAGGTGCTTTTCTGTTGTCTTTACTATAAGAAAAAAGAAACACAGGCTTGAAGATCAAGGCCATGAACACTGCTTCAGTCTCAGGCAGGCAGCAAAGAGTGGGAGGCCTTGGAGAACTGTCTGAAGGGGACAGCTGCCCCTCGGCCACAACAGGTGGTCATGCAGGAATATGGGGCTCAGCCCCAGGACTGCCAGCTCTCCCTGGTTTTCAAGAGAAGCGAGAAATCCAGATTTGTATATGAAATTTCCTGAAGAGATTTGTTCCAAAATTTGGAAAAGCAACTACTCTGTGGGCCACTAGTTTGCAACCTGTGTTTCAGATTTCATTGGCAGATACATGTTAGATTTTCATCCATGCCCTTTCCTCATCAGCTAGAAAAGTTAAGAGTAAGGGGATGTCTTCAGGAACCCAGCTGTGCAGATCGACAGCTGATCACCTCGAACTTAATTAGCTCATCAGATCTTTTTGAGAATTTGATGAGCATTGCAGATTTTCTCCCCTGGGGGAAAAATGCACATATGTTCATACATACACAGTTTGCATCGAGTTTCAGAGGGTTTCCAGGTACTAGGTTAAGAACCCCTCCTGTTAACAGGAAGAATATTTGTTCTGAAACCATGGCTCCCCCTACCTCCCTCTGTATCCAGATGACTTGCAGACCTGTCATTTGTTCTGCCGTATTTTCATGTGCCTCTACCCACATGGAAGGTTTTCCTTCCCTTTATGCATTTTGTATCTTGTGGAAATATTTTACATGAAGAGCACTTTTAAACATTTTCAAAAGCTTCTATTTAAGATCCTTTTCCCCACTCATTATATAATCAAACCATTGATATTTGTAAATTAAAGTAATACAATAATTACGAAACTTTTGTAGCTCCCTTATGCGCAACCTTGGTAACAGGTTTGTGTGATTTTAAAAAAATCCATCTTTCCACTTTTAAGCAGTTCTACAGTTAACCTCTTTATGTATCTAGAGTAACCTATTTTCCCCTTTATTTCCAATAATAAATAATAAATTATTTTTTTTCACTTTAGAAGAATATCTTTCCTCCTGGCTCCTAAGTCAAGTAATTTTAGAATCCACTAGAAATAGAACCTACTGCCTGTAATGTCTTTGTCATGGACTGTAACTGAGGTCCAAGCGGATGGCAAGAAAAGGGAGCACACCGATCCACTTTTATGATGTCTGTTCCTTTTCATTTAATTTCTGTTCCAGTGCTAGACATCAGCATGCTCTCTTCCCAAGACGTGGTCCGTATGCTGTTGTCCCTGCAGCCCTTTCTCCAAGATGCCATCCAAAAGAAGCGCACGGGCCGGACCTGGGAGAATATCCAGCATGTGCAGGGCCCGCTCACCTGGCAGCAGTTCCACAAGATGGCGGGACGAGGAACCTATGGTACAGTCTTTTCCCTGTTTGAACTCCTCCTGAGCTTTGTTCCATGAAAAACGGCTTGAGTTATTGACAAGTCCTTGCTTCACTGACAAAATAGTCTTTTTCTTCATGACTATTAAGGTGTATAATCTCTCCGTTTTCCTAAAGCCAGTATTGGTGTTAAGCTTTCTAAGCATTCTTGCATAATCAAGATCAAGGAGGAGAAGAATCCCTAAGCAGAGTAGTTGTGAGATGCCCATCTTCCTGGTCCTCATTGCACTTCCATTTGGATAAACTTAACTAGTCAGCTTCTTCGTCGTTGGGGTTATAATGCTTACATTAAAGGAAGTGACATAATGCTGCTTGGAAACTAACGTTAACTTGCTCTAGTCTGCCCTCTGATATTATTGAACCTTTATAACCATGTTCTGACTCATTTAATTAAGTCCTTCATCAGGGGACATTTAATGAGAGGATTCGAAGAACACTTTAAGAGTATCATGTCAGCCTACCATGAAATTTCTGATGCCATAATTCAGGCTGATGCCCCAGGAGCTTCTAAATTTTTCAGGCTGTGGGAAGCAGACTCTCAAGCCCCTTCCTAAACTGCAGTGTTGTCTTAGGTTCAGAAGAGTCGCCGGAGCCGCTGCCCATCCCTACTCTGCTGGTCGGCTATGACAAGGACTTCCTCACCATCTCACCGTTCTCCTTGCCATTCTGGGAGAGGCTGTTGTTGGACCCGTACGGGGGCCACCGTGATGTTGCCTATATTGTGGTGTGTCCAGAAAATGAGGCCTTGCTCGAAGGAGCCAAAACTTTCTTCAGGGACTTGAGCGCTGTATATGAGGTGAGAAAGGTCCCAAGTCCTCAGATTGTTTTTATTGGGTTGTCGGAAAAGCCATGACACATTTTTGCAATGAAAAACATAGAAAAAATACGTCATGACTTTTCCAACAACCCAATAGTTTAAGGACTAAATTTTAAAGAATAAGTGTCTTCAAAGTAGACCTCAAAGAAAATGTGTAAATAGTTGGAGGATGAAGAAAAGAATTAAATTGGCAAGTATTTCTGGAAGTAAATTGCTTTTCTATCTTGGCTTTCTGTTTTCCTCTAGCAGCCTTACCACACATCTTAAAATCCTGTCAACTGTATTTTCCCCATTTTATGTGCTCAGGTTTTCAAAAGTATTGTTCACCGGAGGAAAGTGGCTGTTCAGAAGATGAGCTTTGCAAAAAGAAAGCACATTTCTCTTTCGGGGGGAGGGAGGAAGCTGGGGGAGGGGGTTGAAGGGGAAAGTTGCTGAAAACAGTATAAAAACATTTAGTTTGAAAATTTCGGAATCAAAAGATAAGTTTAATGAATCATGTCCCTGTTATTTTTATTTAACATTACATTCATCTTAATACTAAAATTTTGATACAGATTAATAATGTAATAGGCAGGTAGGTAATTTTATATGTTTAGTACATAAATTCCTGTTACTTTTGAAAAATCAAAATTATGTCTGTCTGTGAAGACATAATGCCACATTTCTTCTGCCAAAGTATTTATATACTAAGTTCTTTGTACTTTTGACTTCTAATATCTTTATATTTGGCAAGATTAAAAGAAATTAGTATTTATAAAGGTTTTAGAACTGTGCCAGGCATGTTATAAGCATTACAAATATGGTGGTTAAATCAAATGCCAAGTTGAATTTCAAAAACATTCCGTAACAGAACATTCACTATCTATACATGTATGAGGACACGTGAAGCAGTAAACTTACGTGTTGCTGCAAAGAAGTGAGGAGATGCTAACATATGAGGTGATGGCGTCAACTAAGCCACTGAAGGAAACCTTGATACAGTAATTTCTAAGCAGTGCCTGGTCCGTGGATGCGTAATAATACTACATCATATTTACTCTAACACAGCAAACTTGTCTAAGCAATGTTAAAGCCCAACCATTCTCTTGAATGAAGCCTTCAGCATAAGTTACAAAACATAAAAGGCCCATGGATCTCTTTAGATCTTAATGACTTGACTAGGATTGCTCATTTGGCAGTAATGCACTCCAGCTTAAGAAGAGCGTACACTAGAGAATTGTGTGGGGCTTGGTAAGCCTTCATTTCATCAACTCGAGTAAGGGATAATAATATGGGCTCTCCTGCTGGTGAACAGGTAGTTAAGTAGCTTATTTTACTTTACTTTATGTTACATTAATTCTCTGCCATAAGCACCCACTTAGTGTCCTGGAGATTAATAACAGAATCGCATTGTGCTAAAATAACTATTTACTTTAAAAAAGTCACCGGCATAGCCAGCCCTTCAGTGCCTCTTGCTGTTTGTTGGTGATCTCCAAATGTCTGTAACAATCAAACAGATGGCCCGTAAATTTTTAATGTTATCTTATGGGAAAACATTATGAGTAGGGATTACTTAAGAGGCTTTAGTGGACACGTGTCTCCGTCAGCCTTAGTCGGCAGGGATCTGGTTGGTTCCTTGTTTGACCATTAGCCATCAGGTGATGCTCAGCAGTCTCCCCTCGTGCAGGAGGAATGTACTCCATGCAGAAACATTTCTTTTTCTTCAGAAGAAACATTTTTCTCTAGAGGCCCTAGACCAGGTTTTAGACACAGATAACAGTTTCAGGGTACCCGATCACTAATTACCGGAAAGGACCAGCTTATAATGTTGGCTTGGCTGCATGTGGTAATGGTAAAAGAAGAAGGAAAATGCTTCCACGTGTATGCTAAAGAACCTCCCTCGCTAACGATGTGTGCTGCATAGAGCTGTGGTTCCTGTCGCAAATAATCACCTTGTTTGTGGCATCAGATGTGTAGGCTTGGGCAGCACAAGCCCATCTGCAAAGTGCTCCGTGATGGGATCATGCGCGTGGGGAAGACCGTGGCACAGAAGCTGACCGATGAGCTCGTGAGTGAGTGGTTTAACCAGCCGTGGAGCAGTGAGGAGAATGACAATCATTCCAGACTCAAACTTTATGCGCAAGTTTGCCGCCATCACCTAGGTAAGTGGAAGTTCGTATGGCA